CACGCACACACAAACACACACACGCACACACACACACACACACACACGCACACACACATACACACACGCACGCACGCACGCACGCACGCAGACAAGCACACACGCACGCACACACGCCCACACGCACGCACGCACGCACGCACACACGCACACACGCACGCATGCACACACGCATCACACACACACACACACACACACACGCACACACGCACGCAAACACACACACGCACACACGCACACACCCACACACACCCCCACGCACGCACGCACGCCTGCACACACGCACACACGCACACACGCACGCACGCACACACACAAGCACGCATGTACTCACGCACGCACGTACACCCACACGCACGCACGTACACACGCACGCACGCACACACGAACCCACGCACACACCCACACACGCACACACGCACACACACACACGCACACACACGCGCACACACATACCAACACACACACACACACTCTCTCCCACACACCGACACATCCACATAACCACACACCCACACACACCCACACACACACCCACACACACACCCACACCCGAACAACCCCCCCCAACCCCGCCGCCACACACACAAACAAACACACAAACAAACACAAACACAAACACAAAACACACACAAACACAAACACCAACACAAACACAACCATTTTTTGCGTTGGCGGCTGGGCAGAAGAGGTCGACTGCTGTTGCGGATAGGCAACAGGGGACACGCTGTATGCAAACTGGGCCGCACGAACACAAACACAAACACAAACACAATCTCAACCACAAACAGAACGACAACCACAACCACAACCACAATTATAACCACAAACGCAAACGCAAACACACACACACAAACACACACACACACGCACACACACACACACACACACGCACACACGCACACACGCACGCAGAGCGAGGAGGCCAACAGCGCTGGTGCCGGCCGCCGGCCTCGGCCAAGCCACCGCGCCACAAGCGCACCGTCCCGTCCGCCGAGGCGCTGGCCTCCCCGGGGCTACTCGGCCGCACAGGTGGCTCCGCAAACATGCTCGCGCCATGGGAGGGAGGGACGTCGCCAGCGGCGGCACGCCAGAGGAGGGACCTCCTCCTCCTCCTCCTGCTCCTCCTCTCCCTCCTCCCTCCTCCCTCCTCCCTCCTCCCTCCTCCTCCTCCTCCTCCTCCCCTCCTCCTCCTCCTCCTCCTCCTCCCTCCTCCTCCTTCTCCTCCTCCTCCTCTTCGCGACGGGAGGTTTGTGGTCGGGCGGAAGGCGGGAGGAAGACAAGCTCAAGCTGGGCCCGACCACCAGAAACCTTTCCACAAGAAACCCACCTCGGAGACCCCAGGACGTCCATTGATTCTTGGTGTGGGAACGACGCGCTCTCCATCGCAAAACCATCGAAGCCCAAGAAACCCAGGGCACCCTGGAGGCAAGCAAGGTGTTTCTTGGCGTGAGCCTCCACGGTACTGAGGGGACCTCCGAGGGCGACGGGATCGATCCAGAGGATGCGTCAGGCAGCGCGGCCGCTGCAGAACGCCCCAGACCTCTCCGAGAGCGTACGGAAGGACTTTTGACCTCATCCTGGGCCTGCATGGCACACAATCGAGCCGTAGGGCCGTGGTCACCGTCCTCGGCTAAGTCTGCGCTATACCATCGATTACCAGACGCAAGCGGACGCTGATGCACCCCGAAGACGGAGTTCTGAGGACAAATATCGGCGGTGAGCCTGGGGAGAAGTGAAGAGGGGCGGGCCTTCTCAGACGGCTCGGAAGGCCGCGGGCCTTCTGATAATTGCTCTAAGCCTTCCTCGAACGCACAGAACACTTCTCAGAAGGCCGGAGGGCTTTTGAGAAGCCCCGCTGCCTCCCGAGAAAGTCGGTTCCTCCTCACTGCCCTCCAGGCTCGCCGCCGACTCCCTCCTGGCCCCACTCACTCTCAGCCGCAGTGGCGGGCTGCAACGTACGACCAGGAGCTTTGGCTCGGCATGTCGCGCCGCCGCTCCTAGCCCACCGCGCTGTCCACTCCCTGGCCCCCAGGCGGCCACGCCCCGAGCATATCCACCAGCCTCCCGGCGTGCGGAGCGGAGCGACACGCGCTGTTTGCCTGCGAGGCGCAGCGGGTCGCCGAGTACACGGCTCCCACGACTTGCCGCCGAGGCCGTCGCTTGCGCGGCATGCGCCTGCCTCCGCGCTCTCGCGCCGCACTCGCTCGGGGCCGAGCTCGCAAGGCCGCGGCGGGCCGAGCCCGCACGCGGGGGCCTGCCTGCTCCGCGCGCGACCTGAGGCTTGCGAGCTCGGCCGTGCGCGAGACGGAAGCTTGTGAGTTTGACTGGTGCAAATTCGGTCGGTCGAGTGCGTGCTCGCACGTGCGAAATGTGGCCGCGTGCGAATGCGCCTCGTGTGCGAGTTCTGCGGCTGCCGGCTCGACTGGGGCAACGGAACTCGCACGCAAGAGGCACGGAATTCGAACGGGTGCGGTCGACGAGAGATGCAAGCAAGAAAACTTGAACGACGGTGGCCTTCACACTGATCTCGACTGGAACCCAACCCCTTATCCCCACCCAACCCCTGACTCCAATCGTAATCCGAACCCCAACCCTGACCCTCACCTCGACCGAACCCTGACCGGAAGACCAGCCCACACCCTCACCCTAGCCTATCCCTCAGCCTGCCACCTATCCCTGAGCCTAAGCCCCAATCTTACCCCAAACCATACCCTAATCCTGACTCGGCCCTAATGCAAACCCGAATCATAACCGTTTCCATATATATATATATATATATATATATATGTATATGTATATGTAGAAATATAAATATGTACATATTTTTGGTTTTCTTATTATTTGTTGTGTGTTGCTTTTTACCTGTATTTGTGTATATATCTCCCTCTCTCTCTCTCTCTTCATATATATACATATATATAAAATAATTATGAAACGATACTATGTTTATGTATACACATATCCTTGGCCTTATTGATACTCCCGCCCTGCTACCTCGCCAGCCGATAGCCCCGCATCCAGGACGCTTCATCCTACCCATAACAATTCAGAATCGGCGGTTTTCATTTCAACACGGCCGCTGTGGCGTCGACTCTGCAAAGTGCGTGGCAGAAAGACGCGGCGCTCATTGCGCGCGACAGGGCGGAATGTCACTTTCGCCTCGGCGCCGCGCTTCGTGAGAGCTGAACTTCCTTGCGCATTTTCCGCCCGCCCAGTTGCTTGACCACGGGGACGTGCGCGAGCGGACGAAACGCAGCTCTCGCCGAAGCGCCGGGCAGACTCTGTCTGAAAGTGGCGCTCCTGGTCGGGTACGGCGCGTGTTTTGTCATTCGCCGAAGCGTCAGGATCAAAAGCAACATGCGGACGTGCTCCGTACAGATTTTGCCTAGAAATAGCGTTGTAGGGCCTGGTGACTCGCTCGACCGGAACCTTAACCCGCAAGCGCGCAACCAGTTCGAACCCTACTGTAAAATTACCGCTGGCCCGATGTCTCACATCGACCCTGACCGAACTCAAGTCATGACTCAATCCTAATCATGACATCGACCTGAACCAATCTTGAACTTATCCTGGCATCGGCCCTTACATAACCTGAATGGAACCCTCAGCCTATGCTTGACCAGAACCCAAGCCTAATCCAATCGAAGTGGAACGCAAAGGGCGGGGCGGCGACATACCGAATCCACCAGCGCAACCCTGTAGCACCCACACCCTCGGCCTCATGCAAACCTTGCCAGAACCCTTTGCTGCTACCCCGACTTATCCTCACACTAATGATGAATCGCAGCCCTAAATCGAAGCCGCACTTTCTCTTAGCCGTACTCATATCATCATCCAAAGTTGATCATAGCCCAAGCTCGAACCCCAACCTAACCCCAATCCGAATCTGCACCCTGACCCTGCCTCTTACCCGACCAAGCCTTCAGACCATAATCCTGACCCAGCCCTAATCCGAATCCTATCCCTACCCTCATCCTTAAGCCTACCTGCCCCTAGCCCTAACTCTTAGCCGTGCCTTAGTCCTCACCCTGACCTTAACCGAACGTAGATCCTGAGCCAATCCCAGCCCTGACCCAGACGTGAATAAAATCTAAGCCAAGCGTTAGCGAAACCATGAATCGACCCCTGGCCAGAATCCCACCCTTAACACAGCCCCTACCTTTCGACCCAAATTATGCTCCTTAACCTGACCATGACCCGAACTGGTTCTTAACTCCAGTCACAACCCTAACCCTAACCTGAACCCCAACCCAAACCTCAACACTGACCGACACTAGCTCAAAGCCTCTGCCCCGCCCCAACCGCAACTCCAACATTAACTCACACCTAAAACTTAAACCTCACCCTATCCACACCCCGCCCCCCAACGTAGACCATAACCTACATCCTAATCATCACCCTGATCGCTATTCTTGCCCTAACCATGACCCAATCCAGACATTTACTGTACTTCAACCTCGACCTTGACCCTGACACCGCCCTTACTCTGGTCCAAACCTAATCCTAGCTTAAGCTCAAAACCTGACCCGAAACCCTCACCCTGACCAACCCTACTCATATCCAACTCAGACCCTAATCCTTCATCCTAACCGTGAATCCTAACCTAGCCGTAGCCCACAGTCTACCAACCTGAGCCCTATTGCTGGCCCTCCTAAGCCGAACTTTCACCCTACTGTATCCGAAACGTAATCCTGACCAAACCTTAATCCTGTCTCTAACCCTAACCCCGGACACCAACAGGAACCCTAACCCTGGCCCAAACTTGGACAATGACCTTGGTACGAACCAGACTGGCCAGTCGTTCAGGGCGTAGGTGGTTCAGCGAATTCATTCTCACACCTTCCTTCTTCCTTCCCGTTGGGGGGAAAGTTTACTTATCCCACTATAAATTCTCCTTGGGTCTGGCTAAAGCGTCTCGCAAGGGTTTGAACGTCCAAAATGGCCCCAGGAAGACCCCTGATATCCGCCAATATCGCGTAATTTAGCGACAGATGACTAAACGTAGCTTCCAACAAGCCTCCAAGAGGCGCCATGACCGTCCCAAGACGACCACCCAAGGACCCTTCGAGAGGCCCAAATCCTTCCACAATCTGCAAAACAAACTTACTTGTTTTTGTGTCTTCTCGCTTTTTCGCTTCCGATGGGCTCATGGAGCCTCAAGATAGAGCCCACAAGAGGCCCCAAACACCCCCATGGGCGCCCCAAGAGCTCACATTTCGGCCTCTGAATGGGTGGTGAATGGATGGTGATGGGGGGGGGAAGCGTACTTGAGAACCCCCCCTTCTTTAATCGATGGCCTCCAATAGGGCCCCAAAAACACCCCCAGGAGCACCTCCAACGCCCCAAGAGTGCCCCAAGTGAGCCCCGAGAGAGCGCCAAAGGCTTCCCAAACCGCCCCAAGTAGGCTGCCCACAAGCTCCCAGTATCGAGAGATCCGCGAAAGCATTCACGGTTGACTCCTGTGCGTGCTCGTGCTGATCCCGGCCTTTGGTTTGACGGCTGCCCGCTTGTCTTTGGTCCACTGCGTGCTCCCACAGTTCCCTGAGCAATGCAACTTGCAGGAGAACCTCCTCCTCCTCCTCCTCCTCGTCCTCGTCCTCGCTCTCCTCCTCCTCCTCCTCCTCCTCCTCCCTTTCCCCTTCTCCGCCCCTTCCCCACCTCCCGCCCCTCCCCCCGACTAATGGCCGCCCCTGACCCCCCCCTCCGCGTCCCCTCCAGGAGGCCGCGCCGAGGATCCAGGCACAGATCTCGCACGGCGTCCTGATGCTCGTGGAGCCGCCTCCTGGCGCGGGGCCCGCGTGCGCTCGAGCGGGGCCGCCTCTTTTTTTTGTTCCTTTTGCTGTTTTCTGATTGTTACCTGTGTTTTGTTGCTGCTTTGTATGTATCTATTTTGTGTGTGTGTGTATTCTTCTATTACTTTTTTCCCCTCCTCGGGTGAGGGGCTAGGTCAGGGGTGGACCAGCGCAGGGTTGGAAGCATGGAGCCTGCAACGGCGATGCGCCGCCGAGGGATCGGCAATAGCCCGTCGATCGCCGAACCGGGCGTTCCTGGTCAGGGTGGGCTATCTGACCCCCATCGGCAACGAGTGGGCGATTGGGGGCGATGCCCTCCACCGATGAGCCTGCACCCCCTGAGGTTGCCCCCGCCTCTCTCCTTGGAACGCCAAGCCCAGACCCCATCGCGTCGTCGGGGGGTCGTCCCGGCCCGAAGGACTACAGCCCTCTTCGGCCTCCGGGAGTGGCCTTTTCCAGGCTCCCGCCGACGATCCTCAGAGCGTGTGTTAGCGCCAACGCGTGCTTGTCCACCGGAGGCCCCTCGATACGACGGAGGGTCCGCAACGAAGGCCAACACGGGCTGCGCGCTATCGGCGGAGCCGAACAGGGTAGACACACGCCTGGGCTAACGCACGTCCTGGGGATCGTCGAGCCCGAGGCACGTTCGAGGACGGCTCGGTATAGAAGGCTGCTCCCAGGGTCGTCATCGGGGCCAACGGGGGAGGCGACTCTGCTGGTGCCATGAGTCTGTCCAGGTGGTGACCCGCTGTTCTTCATGTCGGCCTGGCGTTATGGTGGTGATGTTAGCTATTGGCGGAACAATTGAGGAGGGCGGAGCGCACGTAGCTTGAATGCACGGTGACTGAGCGGATGCCAGGGCCCTAGCATCGCATCGCGACGATGGCTGCGGCTCGTATTTCGTCATGGTAGATGGGCGTGGCCGCTCTTGGCCTGCCCGCAAGGTCAGCCTTCAGCTTGTGGTAGATATGGAAGCTCAGCGCTGCGATCCGATGGCAGCTCTGGCGGGGATACTCGGATTCATTATTTGGTACTGGGCCAAGCCCCAGCCATGTGAGATGACAGGCAGGGAGGACGCCACGAGGGATAGCAAGAAGGTGGAGGAGACGGAGGACCAATAAGGTAGTGTTGGAAATAGCCAAGGGCTTGGCATCCAACCAAACACTGACACTCCGCAGCGCTCGGGATGCGCGCGGACGTGATCCATCTGCTGGACACTGCTTTGATGTGTGCCCAAGACCACGAAGGAGGACACCGAGCCAGGATGGATCGAAGCTCCTCCCATCTCCGCCCGAGCTCCGCACCGGGATCTGTGGGTCATGGGGAAGCCACGAGCAAATCCTTGGGGCAAGGAGGGAGGGGAACGAGTCGGGGAAGAGCGAGGAGGTGAGAGAGTGAGTTCGGATCCGCTGGGGGCTGAGGCGTCTCGCCTCCAGCAGGGGCGCTGTGGCGCTCAACTCTTGCAGCACGGGCAGCCGTGTCCCACGCCTGAAGAGCTCATGCCTGGCGGGGCCCAGGACTCCGAGACCAACCTTTAAAACTTATTCGCCTATGGATGCTGTATTTTTTATCGGCGCGCCGGGCTCAGGAACCCGCGCGAGAAGCGCGTACAGCCTCCGTGCATGTCCGCCTGCTGCCCGAGAATCGCGAGAGCCCCCCGCCCAAACTCGCCCACCCGCCGTCCCCAACGTGTCCACGCGCTTCTCGAAAAGCATCGGCAGCACACGGGGTCCGAACCGGGCGTGGCGTGGCACTCGGGCGCCAGGACCCGATCCCCAGGAGCTTCGAAGGGCCTAACGAGCTGTGCGGGAGGCGGAGGGGGCGGTGGAGGACGTGGCGCTCGGAGCGAAGGAGTGGAGGCGAAGGAGAGGACTAGTTGGCAGACGTAGGTAGGCACCAGAACGACGCCGAAATTGTAAGCACGGCAGCACGATTCTGCTGGGGCACGAGAGAGGGCCAACTCCTCCTGCTCTGCTGCGCCATTTATGCTCAGGGGCAGCCCACTGCTCAGCAACCGTGGCCTGCGGTCCGAATTTCACTCCGAGAAAGTCGGTCGCGCCCATGACGGCCCATGCAAGAGCAAGCGAGGCGATGCGAGATTTGAACTTTCGCACCGTGGCCTCATCGCAAGCCTCGCCTAATGGCACGACCGTGCACTTCGCTGGCTGGAGCGGCCAATTCGCAAGCGTGCGGGCGGCGGCGAAGGGAATTGAGGGGGAGGAGTAGGAGGATGAGGATCAAGAGAAGACGGCGGAGACGGAGGAGGGAGATGGGGGAGGACAAGTTAGGCGCGCTCGCGCCATATCTGGTATCCTACCCCTCCGACCCATCCCTTTCCCATTGCGCTGATCTTTCCTCTATCCGCCGACTAGTGTCATAACGGACGTGGAACTCCAAAAAGGACCACATCGTGTTGTGCGCAATCGGAAAGGGGGGAGCTGCGTACATTGCATGAGGAGGTGGCGGATGAGCAGAAGGATGAGCAGATGCAAAATGAGGATGAGGCAGGATGAGGACGAACACGCACAGCAGCAGCAGAAGCTGGAATGGAATGACCAGAGGAATGCGGAAAACAGGAAATGCGGGGGGCGACACTGATGAGGAAGGACTCGGATCCAGAAAAGTGGCCCGCACTGGGGCGAGAGCGCCATTCTAAATGACGGGAGCATCGGGGCCGATCCTAAACAGAGGCCCCCGCTGCAACGAGAACACAATTGGACATGCACAAGAGAAAATCATCTCGACACCATCCGGTGGGATCGCGCTACTACCCGACCAATTCGGGCCAGAGAGGAGAGTAGTATTCCTGTTGAGTAGTTGTGGAAGGAAGGAGGCTGGATGATGGAGTTGAAGATGAAGATGATGATGAAGATGAACATGAAATTGACTCAGGAAAATCGTACGATGATGCTGATGTTGATGGCGATGATGACGACGCTGATGATGATGACGACGAAGAGTAGGATGAGGATGAATATGCGGAGGGGGAGGAGGAGGTTGAGGAAGCGGAAGAGGAAGAGGACGAGGAGGAGGAGGAGGAGGAGGAGGAGGAGGAGGAGGAGGAGGAGGAGGAGGAGGAGGGGGGAGAAGGCGGCAGGAAGAGGAAGAGACAGGTGGAGGATGAGGAGGATGAGAGGGGGAGAGGGAGTGGGGGCGGGAGGAAAGGGGAAGGAGGAGGAGGAGGATGAGGAGGAGGCGGAGGAGGAGGAGGAGGAAGGACGAGGATGCGGAGAAGATCAGGGCCCCTCTCTTGCCCGTCCTTGCCCCCTGAGCGCGCGCCGACCAGCGCTCGCCGCCAGCGCCCGGGGCTCCTGCAGCTGAGCGGGCGCACCCCGGCGGGGGTGGCGTCGAACGGGTCGACCTCGGGGGACGGGGCAGTTCTCCGCCTCCTCGTCCTCACCGCGCCCTCGACTCGCCCCCCTGCTGGACCGCAAGGCAGGAGAGGGCGAGGCAAGACGCAGCAGCAGGGCAACGATGGGAGAGGGCCGCGGGCACGAGGGCCTGCGCCGGGCCGCGCGGGTTGTCGGGGAGGGGGCTGCCCTGCCGTCCTGCTCGCGAACTTTTGCTCACGACGATCGAGGGCTGACCACATCCGCCACCGTGCCCTGAGGCACGAGTTGGAGTGTTCTCAGGTCCTTGGCCTAACCCCTGAAGCTTCAATCCCCAATCTTGAGGATTCTTCAAAAGCAACCCGATCCCAGAGGGCCAAATCTCTCGGGGCTTCCTTCTTGCGTGTCCCCCAGGCCCTGTCGCATGACTTTTTCGGGCCCAAGAAGGCCCCGAGACGGACCAAGAGCACCCCAAGAGGTCCTTAAGACAACTCAAAAAGGTCCCGAATCGCCGAAAGAGGTTCAAGATGGCCTGAAGACGGCTGAAAAGACACCCAAGACGCCCCAAGAGAGGCTCAAGAGGCCTCCCAAGAGGGGCCCAAGAGAGGCAAACATCGTGTAATCCCCTGAGGAGAGCGTTTACTTCTAGTACATCGGGCTTTTTGGCCTCACGGCTTTTGAGACGGCCCAAGAGGACCCCTCAACTCTCCCCAACACGTTCCAACATGCGCTCACGAGCGCTCCAAAAAGGCCAAAGAGGGCCCTAAGATGGCCCAAGAGGCGCCCTAAACGGCCCAAAAGAGCCCCAATACGGCGCCTAGGGGGGAGCCCGACCCGACAATTTGAGCCTTCCGCCCCAAGATACCAACAGCAAGCCCCAAGAGGCCCCCAAGATGCCCCCCAAATGCCCTCATGACGGCTTAAGAGGCCCCAAAGCGGCCCCCAAGAGGCCTCAAACCTGCCTCCAAGATGCCTCCCACGACATCCCAACGAACATCCAAGAGGCCTTTGATCCACAACCCAGGCATGGTGGCGGAATGGACCGAAGGCAATTCTCTTTTTTTGTTTTCCCCAACCTTCCTGTGGTGTTGGGTCCTCGTTCGAGAAGAGACAGCGCCCCGCGTCTCGCTCCTCCTCCGTCCTCCTCCCCCTCCTCCTTCCTCCCCTCCCTGCCTCTGCTCGCCGCATGCCCATCCCATTTCGGCACACTCCTCACACGTTTCGTGGCCCCATAAGGCGCTCCTCCGAAGGCCCCAGTGGCAAGGTTCGCATGGCACCGCCGCCTCCATTTCGGCACACCCCTCCCCGTTCCGTGGCCCCATAGGGAGCTCCGCCGAAGGCCCCAGTGACAGGGTTCGCATGGCACCGCCGCTTCCACTTCGGCACACCCCTCACACGTTTCGGGGCACAAGGTTCGCATGGCACCGCCGCCTCCATTTTGGCACACCCCTCACACGCTTCGTGGCCTCATAGGGAGCTCCGCCGAAGGCCCCAGTGACAGGGATCGCATGGCACCGCCGCTTCCATTTCGGCACACCCCTCACAAGTTTCGGGGCACAAGGTTCGCATGGCACCGCCGCCTCCATTTTGGCACACCCCTCACACGCTTCGTGGCCTCATAGGGAGCTCCGCCGAAGGCCCCAGTGGCAAGGTTCGCATGGCACCGCCGCTTCCATATCGGCACACCCCTCACACGTTTTGTGGCCCATAGGGAGCCCCGACGAAGGCCCCAGTGGCAGGGTTCGTATGGCACCGCCGCCATCATTGCGGCACACCCCTCACACGCTTCGTGGTCCCATAGGGAGCTCCGTCGACGGCCCCAGTGGCAGGGTTCGCATGGCACCGCAGCCTCCATTTTCGGCACGCCCCGCACGCGTTTCGTGGCCCCACAGGGAGCTCCGCCGAAAGCGGTGCCCACAACGAGGTACTGGCAACTGCATATGGTTGGGCCCTTCGCCAGTCTAATCAATTATGTTTCTTTCCCCCCCTCTCTCTCTCTCCCCTTCTATACCTATACGACCACACTTCGGGTGATAAGGAGTTTGTGGGGGGGAAGAAAGGGGGGGAACCAACACCTGACTCAATCGATCTCACTATCGATCTCACTCAACGGGACGCCACGGGACACCACGGAACACTTGTCGATCTCACTATCGATCTCACTCAACGGGACACCACGGGCCACCACGGGCCACCACGGGACACCGCGGGACATCTCTCGATCTCACTATCGGTCTCACTATCGTTCTCACTATCGATCTCACTCAACGGGACACTATCGGACACCACGGGACACCACGGGACACCTCGGGACACCACATCGATCTCACTATCGATATGACTGTCGATCTCACTCAAGAGGGCACAACGGGACACCACGGGACACCGGCGGGACACCAGCGGGACACCAACGGGACACTGGCGGGACACCGCGGGCCAACGGCCGCCAGAGGAGAAAAATTTGGTCCGGCCGCGGCCCAGCAGCCACAGGAGGATTCCGGGACACCAGCGGGACACCGACGGGACACCGCGGGCCACCGGCCGCTGGAGGAGAAACATTTAGTCCAGCCGCGGCCCAGCCACAGGAGGATTTCCTTTCGCCCGCCCACGCAGCTTCGCCTCGCCCGCACGCACGCGCGGCACGCACGACACGAACCCGAAATCGATTTCCCGGTAGGGGGGGTCTCCGTTTCACGTCGGACTCACCCCCCACCCTCCGATATAATGATACCAGAGAAAAACTCAATCAAAGTCATTTTAGGGCTATAGGGCTATGGGGATATAGGACGATGGGGCCATAGGGCTATGGAACTGTAGGGCTATATGGCCATAGGGCTATAGGTCTACAGGGCTATAGTGCTATAGGGCTATAGGGCCATAGGGCTATAGGGCTGTAGAGCTATATGGCTATGGGGCTCTGGGGCTCTGGGGCTATAGGGCTATGAGTCTATAGAGCTATGGGGCGATAGGACCATAGGGCTATATGACCATAGGGACATAGGGCTATGGCTATATGGCCATTGAGCTATGGGCATATGGAGCTATAGGACTGTAGGGCTATAAGGCTACAAGGCTATAGGGCTATAGGGGTATAGGGTTATAGTGCTGTAGGGCTATTGGGCTATAGGGCAATGGTGCTGTAGGGCTACTAGGCTATATGGCTATAGGGCTATAAGGCTATAGGGCTATAGGGCTATAGGGCTATAGGGCTGTAGGGCTATTGGGCTATTGGGCTGTAGGGCTATAAGGCTACAGGGCTATAGGGCTATTGGGCTATAGGGCTATGGGGCTATAGGGCACCCGGGCACCTGGGCACCAGGGCGGGCCGCCGAAATCGGTGGCAAAGTCTTTGGCTATGGAACTATGGAGCTATTGGGCTCTGTGGCGATGGGGCTATGGGAGATAAGGCTATGGAACTATAGGGCTATAGGGCTATAGGGCCATGGGGCTATAGGTCCATAGGGCTATAGGGATATGGGGCTATGGGGCTATAGGGTTATAGGGCTATAGGCATATAGAGCTGTAGGGCTATAGGGTTATAGGGTTATAGGGCTATAGGGCTGTCGGGCTATAGGGCTATGGGGCTGTGGTTTTGGGGCTATGGTGCTGTAGGTCTATAGGGCTATGAGTCTATAGGGCTATAGGGCTACAGGGCTATAGGACCATAGGGCTATAGGGATATGGGGCTATGGGGCAATAGGGTTATAGGGCTATAGGCATATAGAGCTCTAGGGCTCTAGGACTATAGGGCTATAAGGCTATAGGGCTATATGCCTATTGGGCTATTGGGCTATGGGGCTATAAGGCTATAGGCTATATGGCTATAGGGCACCCGGGCACCAGGGCGGGCCGCGGAAATCGGTGGCAAACCTCACCTAACCATACGAATCCGCTAGGACTCCTACAGAGGCAAGCTCTGATTGGGGAATGAATCCTCTAGGGCCCCTTACAAAGGCAAACTCTGATTGGGGAAATATCTACATCTCCGCCACCGTGCCTCGAGGCACGACGTGGTTTGTTCCGCAAGCTTCTAGATTTCTCTCTACCCTGTCTTCGATATTGAGGTATCCCGGTTCGGGGCAGGGAACCCAAAATCTCAAATCTTCTGGTCCCTCGCGCTCCTGGGCTTCCCCGCATGACTTTTCCAGCGGCCCGAGGGCCCCTATGACGGGCCAAGAAGCCCTCCCCCCCAAACGGTCCAAGACGGCCCCGAGTCGCTCAATCATCGCTGTAAGACGCCCAGGATGGCCCACAGACGGCCCAAAAGGCCCGCAAGACGCCCCAAGAAGGCTACAAAAGACTCTCAAAGAGAGCCCCGAGATGCCAATGACGGGATCCAGGCGTTATGCCTTCTCCCTGAAGCATTGAGGCGGCACAGCCACTTATTGCAGATCTCTGGACTCGGTTGTTCATTGGCTGTTTGCGGCTCGAGCTTCAGGCACCACATCCTTCTCAAGTCGTTTCCCTTTTCACCCGCTTCACTCTTCTACTCGGCCCCTGCGCTTCGCCTCTGTTTCGGACTTCTGCCATCCTCTTGCGGGTGGCGCCCGTGTGCAGGTGCCAGCGTCATGGCGGCTGCTGCCGTGGGCCCTTGGATTGGGCCGGATATCGATGCGCTGGAGGCTGAGCGCGCTGTCAGAGTGGTCGGCGATGTTATAAAGTCGGTCTCTAGCACGATGGCAATCACTTGGAAAAGAATTATAAGGCAAATGTTGCCAACATTTTCAAAAGTGGGCCTCGGACTCGTCTATTCGGGGCCAAAGTGCACGACGTGGAGGACCACTACTACCACTGGTGGGTCTTCGAGATCTCGCAAGCGGACTATCCAGGGCTCTTCCAAGCTACGGCCGGGGAGAGGGCACGACGACGAGGTGCACTTCGGGGTCGCATTGTTACGCTGGTGTGCCGCTGGCGTGTCCTGAACAATGCAGGGCAATATCCCGACCTGGAGGCTGTGGCGTGGCTCACGGAGCCCCTCCCGAAGGCGATCCTCGTCTACCTGGTGCCGCCTGGAGCCGCCCCAGGCGCCGTACTTGACGACGGCATGTCGGGCGCCCCTCGCTACAGTGTGCCGATCCCTATCCCCACTGGCATGGCCAGGGTCCCACTGGCCGACTTGCCCTCCTAGATAAGGATCTTGCTGTTCCCTTCGGGCTTCGTAGGGTATATCCCCAACTGGGGGGTGGGATAGTGGGGCTGAGACACCACGGCCCGGTGGGGATGGGGATCGGCTAAACGATACTGAAGTGAGTGGGACCAGGAGGGAGGGAGAGGCAGAGGAGTGGGAAGCGGAGCTACGAGCAAATGCTTCTTCATGCAACCCGCCTATCCAGCGCGCCCTCCCGCAGCGCGCCCTCCCCTAATCTTGGACTGCGATTGTCGACCACCCCCCTTTCGGCCCCTGGAAATGATATCACGCCCCCAGGACCCTCAGTGCGGGATCCTACCAAGATCATGCCAATATTCCATGAAGACCCCCAATCGGATTACACATGATTCTTGAATAATTCCTGGGAGATACCTAGGATTCCTGAGGATTCCTGCGGCTTCCTGTCAACTCCAGCCGATTCCTGACGGATTCCTGAAGAATTCCTGAAGCATTCCTGAGGATTCCTACAGGATTCCTGCAGAATTCCTGAGGATTCCTGCGCCCCCCTCGAGGAATTGCTGAATACTTTGGGTGCTAACGATATCGCTCGGCGGACCCCCCCCCCTCGGGAATGATCTATTCATTTTCTTGGGGGCCAAAAACAACCGGAGGGGACTGGTAGTGGGAGTTCACAGTAATTCCGGCCACGCGCGAGCAGGGATCACACAAGACGGTGCGGGCCCTCCACGCTCTGACATGAAAGGCGCGCACGGGGGAGATCAGTAGTGGGAGTTCACGGTAATTCCGGCCGCGCGCACGCAGGGATCATACAAGACCGTTCGGGCCCTCCGCACTCTGACAGAAAGGCTCGCCCGTCTCAGACTCAAGCAGAATTCTGGCCAGTCCCTGGGCCATCGGGGGGCAAGAAACTTCTGCGGGCACCTGCTGGCATGCCCGTCTCTGATCTGACGTACCTAGTATGAGGCAGATATCGGAGCCCTCCTCCTCTCTCCTGCTCTCCATGTTGGAGCCTCCGACGCGTCCAGCAGCCGCCATGCGCGGATGCAGCCGTCCATCCCGCCGCTGTAGATGCTCCTCTCCAAAGGGTCGCAGGCCAGGGCGAGCACCGCCGACGGGTGGCCCCTGCGGGACGCTGCTCTCTCGTCAATCCTCCCTGAGCGCTTGCCGGCATGTCCCCCCCTGCAACTTTCCATCAGCCTCTCCTGTCCTCGTCCTCGTGCTCAGTGCTCGTCCTGGTTCTCCTTGCCATTTTCTTTCACGTCCGCCGCGTACCCGTTCAGATCTAGAAGAAGGAAAACCACATAAACATAAACTTTTGGCGCTCCGCGCGGATTTCTTGGATCTGCGCCTGGGCTCCCCCGGCGGCGCCTCCGGCGCCGCCCCTGGCGCGCTCCGCGCGCCAGGGAAGGGGGTCCAGCGCGGATGCAAGAAATCCGCGCGGAGCGCCAAACGTTTATGTTTATGTGTATTTTTCTTCTTCAAAGATCCCTCCGCCCCTTCCGCCGCCAAGAACCCTGCTGGGAAGGGGGGGGAAATGCGGGGGGACACTCGCGGACCCGGGGGGTCTGCTTCTCTTCGCCGCCCAGCAAAGAGCATCCATGCCCCCCCCTAACGGGTGGCCTGGAGTCATCTCCTGAGCTCCTCTCCTCAGTGTCTCACCAATCCCTCCCCCCTGCCCAACATCGCAACACTCCCCCCCTAACGGGTGGCCTGGAGTCATCTCCCTGAGCTCCTCTCCTCAGTGTCTCACCGATCCCTTCCCCCTGCCCAGCATCGCAGCACTCCCCCCCTAACATGTGACCTGGAGTCATCTCCCTGAGCTCCTCTCCTCAGTGTCTCACCGATTCCTTCCCCCTGCCCAGCATCGCAACACTCGTCTCCCTTGCCTAGCCACGCGAAGAGGGCGATCCGCTCAGAAGCGCGCACGCAGGCGCAGCTTTGCTCGCGCAGAACTTGGTTGCCGATTCGATTCGCTGTCCAGTTCTAAGCCTGGCAATATTGCTGGGCCCGACGCAGCTTCGACATGGCCTCCAAAGTTGACAAGCATCGGACCAAAGCGCAACCGAAACAACTCCCTCCTCATGGGCCTCTCAAACACCCTCTTGATGATAACTACGGGTGGCTTCGACAGCATCGTCGTGATTGAGAGGGTTTTGGGGGAGCTCTTAGGGCCATCTTAGTGGGAAGAGGCTCGAAGCCATCTCGGGGCCTATTAACGCCGTCGTGGAGCTCTCTCGTGCTCTCTTGGAGTCATTTTGGGCCGTCTTGTGGCCCTCTTGGGGCTCTTTTTGGCGACTGGGACAATCTTGGTGGCCTCTTGGCCGTCCTGGAATCTATGGCGAGTATGTCAACTCATTTACAGACCTGAGGGAATTCAATGCTTTTGTCTCTTGGGGGCCCCTTGAAGGTCTCGAGGGCCGTCTTCTTGTGGACCTCAAAGGCCATGACGTCTTGGGGCGATCCTGGGCCGACTTGGAGGCGATCTTGGGCCATCTTGGTATTCTCGGTGACCCTCTTTGCCATCTAAGAGACTGTCTAAGGCCATTCTGAAAACTATCTTGGACCGTCAGGGACCAATCCAACGCCGGTGTCCTCACTGCTGTTCGATTGGGGAGAGGACCTGTTCTAATACAAGACCCCCCCCACCACTCACACGTTTCGTGGCCCTATAGCGCGCTCGACCAGAAGCCCCAGTGGCAACGGTCGAATGCGTGCCCGCGCTCACTCTCGCATCCCCCCTCACACGTTTCTTGGCGCAGAAAGGGCTCCTCCGAGAGCCTCACTGGCAAGGTTCGAATGTGTACCCGCGCCCGTTTCAGCACACTCCCTCAAACTCTCCGTGGCCCTATAAGGAGCTCCACTGAAGGCCTCAGAGGCAGGGTTTGCAGGAGTGCCCGCATCCATTCTCCCACCCCTTGCATGTTTCGTGGCCCAAGAAGGCGCTTCACCGAAGGCCCCAGTGGCAGGGTCAGTATGCGTGCCCGCGCCCAGTTCGGCGCACCCCCTCACACGTTTCGTGGCCCCATTGGGAACTCACCCAAAAGCCCCAGTGACAGAGTCCGTACGCGTGCCCCCGCCCATTATGACACACCGCTCACACGTTTCGTGGCCCCACATGAGCTCCACCGAAATGCCCAATGACAACGTCCGTATGCTTGCCGACGCCCATTACAGCTCAGCACTCACACGTTTCGCGGCCCCATATGGAGCTCAATCGGAGGCACGAGTAGCAGCGCCCGCATGGCTCGAGCTGCATCCATTTTGTGGCGCGCTGCCTACAAGGAGAGGGTCGCATCATACTCCACTTTTGGCTTGCTCGCCCCTCTCCTTCGTATCATCGGGCTTGCGGTACTCGCAGCTGCAATTGGTTGGATTCTCAAGAAAAGTTTGCTTCTGGGTTGACTTTCTTGCCCCTTGGACCTGGGCCACTGGCCCCCCTGAAAGTCTGATACTTTACCACGGTCCTTGCTCGGCGGCGAGCGAGGGGGGAAATGAGAAAGGGCGGGCTTTCTCAGAAGGCTCGGAAGTCTCCCGGCCTTCTGAACAATTTCCTGTCTTTTCCGAAGACGCAGAAAACTTTTCAGAAGGCGCGAGGGCTTCTGAGAAGTCCCGCCTCCTTCTGAGAAGGCCTTCGCCTTCTCACTTCCCCCCCGCTCGCCGCCGACTTGCTCCATGTGGTAAGACGTTATGTACATATATATATATATGTATATATATATATAGATATACAGACACTCTACGAGGTATGAGCGGCTGGAAATCTAAGCAGTCATATCCTACACATTCTGCGCTGGCTGCTATGCCCTGCGAGCTGACAGCGTGTCGCTCCGATCCGCGGGGCGAGAGGCTGAGAGAAGCTCGGAGCGCTGACGCTCGGGGACTGGGACGTGGATAGCGTGTCGCGCCGAAGCGCGGTGAGTATACATGCGCACCAAGCTTACAACGACGACAGACAGGGACTTTTGCTCAGCGCAACGCGGCGGCGGCCCCAGCGACACGCTGCGCCTTGCAAGCGGATAGCGTGTCGCTCCGCTCCGAGGGCGGGAGGCTGGGAAATGCTCGGGCCGTGGGCGCGAGGAGGAGGAGGAGGAGGAGGAGGAGGAGGAGAGGAGGAGGAGGAGGAGGAGGAGGAGGACGGAGGAGAGGAGGAGGAGGAGGAGGAGGAGGAGGAGGAGGAGGAGTAAGGAGGAGGAGGAGGAGGAGGAGGAGGAGGAGGAGGAGGAGGAGGAGGAGGAGGAGGAGGAGGAGGAGGAGGAGGAGGAGGAGGAGGAGGAGGAGGAGGAGGAGGAGGAGGAGGAGGAGGAGGAGGAGGAGGAGGAGGAGGAGGAGGAGGAGGAGGAGGAGGAGGAGGAGGAGGAGGAGGAGGAGGAGGAAGATGAGAGCGTGTCGCGCCGAAGCGCGGTGGGCCGCCACCGGCGGTGCCGTCCATGGCGCTGTGCAAGGAGGAGGAGGGAACCAGACCAGAAGGGCTCTGGGATCTTCTGACCTGGGTCAATCCAGACCAGGGCCAATCAGGCCTTGCAGAATCCTGCAAGATCCTGCACCCAAGCCCGGGTCAATGCGAAAGATTCTGCAAGATCCTGCAGGATCCTGCACCCAGACCCGGGTCAATGCGACCCTGGCCCTGCAGGATTTTGCATGATCGGGCGCTCTCGCTGACCCCCGCTTGCATTAACCCCCGTCTCTCGAGCCCCGAAGAGACACTCTGGACACTTCTGGGCACATCCGGAGAAACAGCCCGAACAATTTCAGATGCCTTAGAGTTTCCGAGGTTTCTGATGGTTCCTGGACGCGACCAAATCTTGCAACCCCCTGTGCCACAGCACGGGACCCAGCCGGGCCAAGGTGCTCCTCGCGTCAGCTCTCCGACTGCATGCGAGGCCCCGCTGCCTTCTCAGACGGCCGCCCCCGAAAAGCTACGGCTGATCTTTTCAGCTTGGCCGCCGAGGAACGGACACGTATCCTCCTGAGCCATCGCGCTCTGTGTTGCAACGCACTGGCCAGGCCTGAGCCCCCGGTGACCTGCATGTGCTGGAGCATGTGCACGTGGCCTGGCCACTTTTAAGTCAGCGGCGCAGAGGGTCCTCAAGCGCGGGCAGCAGATGGAAGTGCTAACTGCAATCGAGCATTGTCGAAAGCACAGTGTACGAGACGTCGCACACTGTAATGCGCAAGCGAAGGGTGCGTGGCGACTGGCCACCCCGACCCCGCCACAGAGCCAGAGGAACGGACACATGCCCTTCCGAACCAGCGCGTTCCATGTCCCAACTCCCCGACCGTATTCGAGCCCACGGTGACCTGCAGGTGCCATCACGCGGCCACGGGAGCCGCCACCCCGACCTTGGGCCCCATCAAGGCAATTCCAGAGGAGTCGCCAGAAAGGGGGTCGTCTTGGGGTCGCCGCTTCCTCCTGAGGAGGAGGAGCGGGACGAGGATCCCTCCAGGACCCCATACCCCACATCACCCCCCCCCCCTCCTTTCGATCCTCGCTCCTCCCTCCTCCTCGACCCTCGATGCAGAGGACGAAGAACCTGTACAACGCATTGTTTTCGGAGGCCCGCGCGGGTTTCGTGGCTCCCCGCGGAGCTCCGAAAGTTTGTGCTTATGCGAATTTTCTCTCCGATTTGACCCTCAGGAGATGGCGACCCCCCAATGGTGACGCCCTTCGGCGCCGCCTGCCCCCCCCCCCGCCGCCGAGCCTGTAGGTCGCGTGCGCCGTCACCGGCACGGCCTCGCCTTCGGGGGATCGGGGGCAGCGGGGGCCTGGACACGAAGCCAAGGCTGGCCATCGCTGTCGCACCCCCCCCAAAAATGCGATGTCCGGATCTTATACTATATCGTAAATGTGGGGTTATCGTTATTCGTGTTTCGCCTCCGCCTCACTTCCTCCTTCCCGCCTCCTTTCGCCCTGCCAACATACAAATCACGCATACTCAGACTCTCTCGTACCCAAGCTCACTGACATTCATACCTACTCACTCATACACAAACCGCTCAAGCCCATACGCAATCATACTCATCTTGGTCATGCCCAGTCTCACTCATATTCAAGCTCACTGACACTCAGACCCGCTCACAAGCACATTCACTCACACTCAGACCCCTCACAGCCTCATACTCGTATGTTGAGTCAATTATTTTGAGGCCACGCTCGCACACATTCAGTCACACTCGTACTCACTTAACTAAGCTCAGACTAACTCACACCCGACGTGGCACGCGTGGTATTTGAGTACCCGAAGGAAGAGCCGCCAATGGGGTAGGACATTTGCCCGTTCGCGCGCCAGATTGTGAGGATGTCTAAGGCGGCTGCCCTGTTTGGCAGCCCAGACCAAGTTGTTTTTATAGCCCCATGCCCATCGCAATATCGCAGGCGTGGCACTTGGTCACCCCAGCAGATTGTGAGGATGTCTCAGGCGGCTGGCCTGTTTGGTGGCCCAGGCTCATTTCCCATGCCCATCCCGATACAGCAAGCATGGCATTTGGGCACCACGGGGAGGAGCCGCGGGGGTAGGGAATTTGCTCGTTCGCGCTCAGATTGTGAGGATGTCTCAGGCGGTTTGCCCGTTTGGTGGCCCAGACCCTTCTGTTTTCAGAGCCCCATGCTCATTGCGATGTAGCAAGCGTGGCAATTGAGCACCCCAGGGAGCCGCCAGAGGGTAAGACATGTGTCCGTTCGCGCCTAGTTTTTGGGGATGTCTCAAGCGGTTTACTTGTGGGGTGGCCCCGCACTCCCCCTTTTTGAAAACTTCCTGCTCATCGCGATGCAGCAGGCGTTGCATTCAGGTACCCCAAGGAAGAGCCGCCAAGGGGTATGACTTTTGCTCGCTCGCGCACCAGATTGCGGGGATGTCTCAAGCGGTTTGCGTTTTTGGTGGCCAGATTTTTGTTATTGGGGAATTCAATGCTTGTCGCAGTATGGCAAGCGTGGCATTCGGTCACTCCAGGGAGGAGACGCCAGGGGATAGGACACTCGCTCGTTCGCGGCCAGACTGTGGGGATGTCACAGGCGGCTTGCCTGTTTGGTGGTCCAGTTTTCGTGCCCAAATCCTGAATATGGAGTTCTCGTTTGATGAGGGCACCTCCGAAATCCTCGTCGACCGTGGTTGATTATCTAGGAATGAAAACCTAGGTTCGCTATCTTCAGATGATACCCTATGCATTATTGTCCTGTGAATGGATCGGGCTCAGGCCCCCCCTGGCCGAATCATTATCTTTCCGGAATAATCAACCTAAGTTTAGTCTTCCAAACTTATGGACCAAGGTTTATTTCAGTCCGGAACGTACTCGCAAACGGCGCCCCCCAGGCTCAATCATTATCATTCCAGAATAATTAACACGGAGTCAATATTCCGGGAACATTATGATTCCGGGTTTATTATCTCCTGGAGATAATGAACCTGGGTCAGTATTCCGACATGAAAAACCTGGTGGGGAACCCGTGGTCTAGGGGAAAATAACAATTATTATCATTCCGGACTTACGAAAACCGGGCTCATTATTCCAGGAACATTGACAACCCCAGTCAATATCCCGGAACATTATGAACCCAAGTTAAGATGTTTTTTGGGTCGATATCCCCAAAACATTATAAACCAACATTTTTAAGATTCCGAGGGGAACATTATGAACCCCAATCAATATTCCCAGAACGTTGAAACCCAGGTTCATAATGCCCCGGGGGAGACATTATGAACCCGGGTCGATAATCCTGGAACATTAGAAACCTCGGTTAATATATATTTGGGATCCATCCTGCGTTTGATTGTGGGGATGCCTTGAGTGGTGGTTCGCTGGTTTTTGCGCCCCTGGCTTCTCTACGTTAAGAGCCTCATGACTACAGCAATGTAGTATGCATAGCATGTGTGCGCCGTGCACCCCGACAGGGAGCTGCCAGGGGGCGCTACAAGTGCAATTTCGCGCCCAGATCGTGGGACCTCTCGGGCGAAACTCTGGCTTAGGCACGCCCGACCCCTATCTCTCTGGAGCCCCAAGAATATCCCGATGCAGCAGGCGTAGCACTTTGGGCAATCCAATCGGGAACCGCCAAGGATCACTCAGTCGCCACAAGCCAAAACTTTCCCACCCACATGCTTGCAGACGGAAGCATCAGGAACTGAGGCTCATCCGCCACCGTGCCTCCGGGAGTGGGCGAGTCCGCAGGTCCCTTGCCTGGAATCCCTGGAGCATCAGTCCCCAGCCTCGAGGAGTCTTCAGGGGGCCCGGGCCCCAAATTCCGAAATCTCCATGGGCTTGTCGCGTGCCCTCTGGGCTCCCCCGCGGCTTCCCGCGTGAATTTTTCGGGCCCGAAAGGGCCCGAACACGGGCCAAGAGGGTCCCACGAGGCCCCCAAGACGCCCCAGGAGGCAAACATCATTGATTCCCAACCATCCTGTGGTGTTGGGTCCTCGCTTTGAAGAGACAGCGCCCCGCGTTCCTCACCTCACCTCACCTCCCGCGCTCCTCCCCCTCCTCCCTCCTCCCATCCCTTGCCTCTGCCCTCCGTATGTTCTTGTTGCGTCACACCCCTCACAAGTTTCGTGGCCCCATAAGGAGCTCCACCGAAGGCCTGCGCCACCGCACCAATTTCGGCATACCCCTCACACTTTGCATGTCCCCACAGGGAGCTCCACCGAAGGCCCCAGTGGCAAGGTTCGCATCGCGCCACCGCGCTCATGTCGGCACACACCTCCTACCTTTCGTGGCCCCATAGGGGACTCCACCGAAGGCCCCAGTGGCAAGGTTCGCATAGCGCCACCGCGCTCAATTCGGCACACCCCTCCAACGTTTCGTGGCCCCATAGAGAGCCCCACCGAAGGCCCCAATGGCAGGGTTCGCATGGCGCCACCGCGCCCATTTCGGCCCACGCCTCTCACGTTTCGTGGCCCCATAGGGAGCCCCACCGAAGGCCCCACTGGCAGTGTTCGGCACACCCCTCACACGTTTCGTGGCCCCAAAGGGAGCTCCACCGAAGGCCCCAGTGGCAAGGTTCGCATCGCGCCACCGCACCCTCGGTACACACCTCACACGTTTTGTGACCCCATATTGAAGCCCCTCGAAGGCCCCAGTGGCAGGGTTCGCAAGGCGCCACCGCGCCCATGTCGGCACACCCCTCCAACGTTTCGTGGCCCCACATGGGGGCTCCACCGAAGGCCCCACTGGCAGGGTTCGCATGGCGCCACTGCGCCCGTTTCGGCCCACCCCTCACACGTGTCGTGGCCCCATAGGGGAACCGAAGGCCCCAGTGGCAGGGTTCGCATGGCGCCACCGCACCAATTTCGGTACACCCCTCACGTGTTTCGTGGCCCCACAAGGGGCTCCACCGAAGGCGGGGCTCACAACTGCGGTACTCACAATTGCATATGGCTGGGTCTTTCGCCAGGTTTATTGCCAATAGGTTTTTGACAGATTTTGGCGTTCTCGCCTCTTCGGCTTTCCGACGCTCCAAGACGGTCCAAGAGGCCTCCAAGACCACCCTTAAACTGCCCAAGAGGCCTGCCTGAGAGCGCCCCTAGACGGCCCAAGAGGCACCCAAGAAGGCCCAAGAGGGCCCCAAGACGGCCCCCAAAGGGGCCAATAGAGAGAACACGAACCGAACATCCCAGCCTTGGCGCCCAGGAGGCAGCCCGGGCACGGTGGCGGGATGGACCGAATGCCATTCGATTTGACACCCTCTGTGGTCTTGCCACAAAGGGTGCCCGGAGTGCTGAATTTCTTACCGTTTTTGGTTTTGGTTCTTGTCCCAAAGAACTCCCCCTGTGGCTTCGGTCCAAAGTGTAGGCCTCCTAGATGGGGTCCGAGTAGATGAGGTCGAAGGATCGCGCCGCATCGCGGATAACTCGGCAATGCATCGGCGATGCATCGGCGATGCCGACGATGAACTGGCGCCGTCGGCGTGGCGAATCTCGGGCTCCACATCGAGCCGCATCGCCGATGCATCGGCGATGCGGCGCGATCCCCCGGCCCCATCTACTCGGACCCCATTTGGAGGGCCCAGAGGACAGGGTGGGCCCCGCGGCCGTGCTGGCTGCGGGCCGAGCTTCGAGCCCGCACGTCGCCGTCGCCGCCGCCGCCCGGCTGCCAGTCCGCCCGGTGCAGCGCGGCGAGGTCCCACGCCTTCACCAGGCCGTCTTCACTGGGCGCGCGCCGCGCGCGCCGTCACAGCGCCACGGGCGCCCCAGGCGGACATTCGGTGCGGACTTCTTGGGTCGGTGCTGGGCCCTCTCCTCCTCCTCCACCTCCTCCTCCTCCTCCTCCTCCTCCTCCTCCTCCTCCTCCCCGCGCCACTTATCGCCAAGGCCTGGGCGGACCGAGATGATCGAATATAGATGGAAACTTCTGTGCGCCTCTGCCGCTTCTGTGAGGGGCAACGAAAGGGGGACTGGCGGGAAGCATCGACCAGAATTCGGCGAAACATCGCCGATAGATCGATAGTGAAACAGCACCTTCCTGGGCGGGTTGGTAATATCGGGCCCCTATCCCGAGCAGGAGGAGGAGGAGGAGGAGGAGGAGGAGGAGGAGGAGGAGGAGGAGGAGGAGGAGGAGGAGGAGGAGGAGGAGGACTTCTCGGACTTCTGTGCGCATCTGGCGATTCTGCATGGGGCTTGCAGAGGCCTCTGGGGACCGCCCCAAGCGGACCCTGAGATCCAGGCGCTGCAAACAATTTTCACTCCGGGCGTTTTGTCGCCAAGTGTCGGTCCCCAGGACCATGCACGGATCGATCTGGCTCGAGAAATGCCGCAGAGAAACGAGGTCTGGGGCTCCAGTCAGGGGTTGGGCGGACCCCTGGGGTTCGGGCGTTGCCGATGTTTCGACCTGGCTCGAGAGATGCCGCGGGGAAATGAGGTCTGGGGCTCCAGTCACGATCTGCCGCGATGCTGCCACCTGTTCGCAACGTCGGCTTCCAGGAGAGCGCGATGACGGTCAGGAACTCTTGCTCAGCGCGCCGCGGCGGCGGCCCCTGCGACAGGCTCTGCCCTGCGAGCTGCTGGCGCGCCTCCGCTCCGCGGGGCGGGGGACCAGGAGCAACTCGGAACGCTGACGCGTGGGAACGGGGCAATGCTTCGCACGTCGCGCCGAGGCGTGGTGGGCCGGGACCGGCGGAACAACACGTTGAGCCAACATTCCTGACCGTCAGCAAGCATACACTCTCCGAGCTTCGAACATGTATGCTGATTTGATCTGCCTCGAGCGCGGCCGAGCCGAAGCTACCGGCCGTACCCTCGCGCCCGCGCTCCGCCTCTCCCGTGACTACAAGAGCAGCTCTGCGGCCCAGGCCACCGCTCGGAGGCCCAAGCCCCGTGCACTCTTCGGCTCTCCGTGCGCACTCGTTGCCTCAAGGTGGCCCAGGGTGCTCCCGACTTTCCGGCGCTGGCCTCGCCGAAAACAGCGCACGCGTTCAGGCGATGCCAAGGCCTCCCCTGTCGGGAACGAACAATGACATAAACATAATAACTCGGAAGTCCGCGCGGATTTCTCGGATCGGCGCTGGAGCCGGGCGGCGCTGGAGGCGCCGCCAGGGGACTCCAGCGCCGATCCGAGAAATCCGCGCGGACTTCCGAGTTTTATGTTTATGCCACTTTTTGATCCCCGAAGCGTGGAAAGCGGCGTTCCCCGAGCCATCGTTTGCTGTGATTCGTCTCCTGCGCTCTGACCACGCCGCCCTGCAAGAGATGTCAGGCCCAGGGCAGCCGGGGGCACGGGGCTTCGGACGCCTCCTCCTCCTCCTCCTCCTCCTCCTCCTCCTCCTCCTCCTCCTCCTCCTCCTCCTCCTCCCCCTCCTCCTCCTCCTCCTCCTCCTCCTCCAAAGCTCGGGGCAAAATCAAACAACATCGAGTCGGGCCATCGGATCGAAACGGAATGTGCGTCGACTCGGGCCGCACCGGCACGGAGTCGGAGTCGGATCAGATCGGCCGCGCCAAGGCGCACGACGGTGCCCTGCCACGATCGTGGCCGCGTAGGATCGTCGGAACATCGGAACCGAAGCGAATCGAGAAGGCCGAGATCGATGTCGGATTTGGATCGATCGGATCGAAATTGGGGCAGTCTGGCTGGAGGCAGCGAGTGAGTGCGCGCTCGGCACGTGTGGCGCGCGTCTCTGTCCAGTGCCTGCCCAGTATGTGGCCATCACGAGGGAACTGCCAGGCCTCAGCCGCTCTGGATCATGCACCAGCGCTAGGATGTGCTGCTCGATTATACTCACGGTGGTTCTAATCCGAGCTGCCACGTCGACGACAGCATCGTAACATTCGACCACATCTGCCGACCCTTCGGCGTGTGTGAGACGCTATCGTCGTCGTCCTCGTCCTCATCCTCCTCCTCGTCGTCGCTGTCGTCGTCTTCTTCGCCGGCCCCACATAAACTTATGAACGAACAGAAAAGACACGTCGCAATTCAGTCGATCCCCCCCTTTTACCCCTCCCCGACGGGGGGAATACGGGCGGGGGGTGGGGTAGGGGAGGGGGTGCGAGAAAGGATCCCGGGCCAGGTTACCGCCCTCCCCCCCGAGGTCCCGGCGGACCCCCCTTCTCTCCGGGGAACAAGGGGGGGATCCTCCCCCTCCCCCTCCCCCTCCCCCTTGCCCCTGCCCCTGCCCCTGCCCCTGCCCCTGCCCCTGCCCCTGCCCCTGCCCCCCCTCGCCCCCCTCCCCCCTCCCCCTCCCCCTCCCCCTCCCCCTCCCCCTCCCCCTCCCTCCCTGTGAGGGTGGGGTCGTGGAGGGGTGTCCCGGGGGGGCACATTTTGGCCTCCTGGGGGGGGGGGGCACTGCTTAAGATGACTCCAAGAGCGCCTGGGACAGATGGCTCAAGATATCTTAAGATGCCTTAAGGTGGCTCCCACGATGCTCCAAGAGGCCCCAAGACCGCTCCAAGACGGCTCCAAGTGGCCCCGAAGAGGCTCAAATCCTTCCAAAACGTTAGGAACAGCAATGTTTTGGGCTTTCTCGCCTTTTCGCTTCCGATGGCCATCCGAGGCGTCAAGACGGCTCGAAGATGGCCCAAGAGGGCTCCAAGAGCGCTCCCAAGGCTCCCAAGAGCGCTTCAAGAGGGCCCCAGGAGGCGCCCAGGAGGCCCCAACAGGCGCCCAAGAGGCCTCATAGAGGCTTCCAAGAGAGCCCCAAGATGCCCCAAGAAGCTCTCCGAGGCACTCAAGACGCTCTAAGAGGCGTCCGGGACCGCCAAAAGGCTCCCAAGACGCTCCGAGGGGCCTCCACTTGGGGACCCTTCCTCTGTGTGCTGCCCACTTCCCTGATCGAAGCAATTCCTCTGGGCATCTTTTCTGGATGGGCTGATAGGGGTTACTTTTTTTTTTCGCGGGCGGACGCGGATTCGCAGTCGCCGAGCTGAACTGATTCGCGGCCTGTTTCCCAAGTGCTGAGCAGAGTGTGTGGTATGACTACGTCATGGCGGAACTCTTGGAACTCCTCCTCCTCCTCCTCCTCCTCCTCCTCCTCCCTCCTCCTCCCTCCTCCACCCTCCTCCTCCTCCTCCTCCTCCTCCTCCTCCTCCTCCTCCTCCTCCTCGTCTGCCCCCCCCCGCGCGCGCTGGACGTGCTGGCAAGGCGGGGGGACCTGCAGGAGACCACCAAGTCGTCAACGCACACCACCTTGCGGACGGCGTCCAGGTGCGACCGCAGCGACGCGCGGACCTGCCTGGGCCAGCCGTGACACGGTGGGAGAGACAACATTCTTTTTTGTGCAGCAGCCGGGCTGGCGCCGGCCGGGGCGGACAAACCCTGCCCCCAAACGACAACCGAAAACCACCAACAAGAGCTACCCGTGACAAGTAATGCCCGGGTGAGCGCTCGAGGAGGAGGAAAGGGAGGAGGAAGATGAGGAGGAGAGGAAGGAGGAACGAGGGGGAGAAGGAAGCGAAGGGGCAAGAGCGCTGTTCGGATAATCCGTGTGGCCCAAACAGCCACTTATCTAATCCTAAAACGCACAGCGCATTCAAGAGAGGAAGATGGAGGAGGAGGAGGAGACGAGGAGGAGGAGGAGGAGGAGGAGGAGGAGGAGGAGGAGGAGGGAGACGCCATCACGACACTCAAAATTGCGGGCCCTGTTGTAGTAGGAAAATGCGGAATGACGCTGTGTAGAATACCTCTGTGGCCCCAGTGGCCAAGACCAAAACTCCAGCACAACATCAGATAGGCAGGGCGAGAGAAGAAAAAACCGCGCGTGCGTATAGCGGCCAGACTTCACCCGCAGCTGTCGCACAATTTCGCTCATGGGCGCGTGCAACAACATTCGAATGGACTTCGTGACGTGGCTGGGGGCCCACGTGACGTTGCTGGGGGCCCAAGCTGTCTGTCTGTCGGTCTCTCTCTCTCTCTCTCTTTTTCTCTATGTTTTTCTTCTTCTCTCTCTCTCTCTATATATATATATACGTTTGCGCGTTCGAACCGCGCGCTTAGGTTCTAGCAAATTCTGAATGGAGTCTAGAACATGTTGGGCGTCGGGGGACATCTAGTGTCACACGGAAAGTGCCCCACAAAAAACTTCACCAACGGCCCCGAATGCAAGCTTGGCCTAGCGTCCCCCTGCACATGCCGGCAAACGCCTCAAAGGGATGGCTCCCTACAGGGATCTCCACCTGCGTTTTTAGAGACAATATTCGCATACAGCAGGTAACTGCATTTGAGGGGCGCCAGACGGAAGTTTCATAGCGTCGCCCGGCTTACTTCGGCACACCTCTCGCACGGATCGTGGCGCGTATGGAATTCCACGGACGGTCCCAGAGGCAAGGTTCGCATGCCGCCCTCCCACCTACTTGTGTACACCTCTCGCACGCAGGGATCTCCACCTATGGCCCCCGAGGCAGGGTTCACATTGCGCCCCCCCGCCCATTGCGGCGCACCCCATCACGCAGATCGTGCGCTCAAGGAACACCACCTAAGGGCCCAAGGACAATGTTCGTACAGCGCCCTCCCCGCCCATGTCGGCACACCCGTTACGCGAGTCATGCCCCAGAAAGAGCTCCACCTAAGTCGCCACTGGGCAGCTTCGCATGGCGTCCCCCCGCCCATTTCGGAACATGCCTCGCACGGGTCGTCCAGAGGAGGTCCACCTGCGGCCTCAGTGGGCGTGTTCGCGCGGGGGCATCCGAATTATTCGGCACACCCTTCACGCGGTGCATGCGTGCTCCGCAGCAACCCGATTTCCGCATGGTCCTTCGGCGCGCAGTGTATGAAGAGAGACACGCGCCCTACGCTACACATGAATGCATAGGGATGGATCCGGCGCCAAACCAATTGCTTGCTTATCTATGGCCTTCGGCCCATACCGCTACTGTGTCTGAGTTTTGGGCCGGAGGATTCTTGGATACCTGTCATTTGGGGTCTGTTGGCATGCGTCTCGGGCGCCTCGTGGAGCGACTGTTGAAGCTTTTTGTGGCCTCTTGGGGGTCGTTTGGGAGCCTCTTGGGGCCTCTTCTGGGGCCCTTGGGGGCCTGCTGGGCCTTGGGGGCCCGCTGGGAGCGGAGGGCTCGACATTCAGTTGGCTTGCCCCCTCTTGGATTCCTCTTGGGGCCCTCTTGGGCGCCACTTTGACCGTCTGGGGGCTCTCTTCGGCCGCCCTGGGGCCCTCCCTCTTGGGCCGTCTTGGGACTATTTTTTGGGTCCTCGTGGGCCGTTCTGGACGCTGCTGCGGCCCAAAGTGCGCACATACTGCGCATCTAGATTTTTCCAAAAGGAATGGAACAATTTTGGCCTCCTGGGACCTTCCCGGGGCGCATGTTGGAGCCTTCTTGGAACGTCTTCGGGGCTTTTCGAACGGTCTTGAAACAATATTCGGACGTATTCGGCCCTGTTAAGCTGCTCTGGTTGCTTTCTGGTTGCCTCCAGAGCTGTTTCGAGCGGCTCGGAGGAGGCCAGTGAAGCCCCAGAAGGGGTCAAACATGCCGTGGGCCAGAAGAGTGGGGGGTATCCAGGAGGCTGTCCCGGCCGGGCTCCCGGGCCCCTGGTACTCTGGCATATGATAGATGTATCGGTTGATATACGCCAAGGGGACTACAAGTTGGTCCAAGATGCCACCAATACGGCCCAAGCACGGCCCAGGCCCTCCAGACGGCCCTAGAAGCCCCCAAGAGGCCCACAAGACGCTCCAAGAGGACTCCAGGAGACTCTCCAGGAGGCCCAGATCCATTCTCGTCTTTTTGGGCTTCTGACAGCCGACGACGGCACCAGAGGCCATCAAGATGGCTCCAGAAGCCCCCAAGCGGGCACCAAGACGGGCCGAGAGGGCCCCAAGACGCCCGCACACTCCCCCACTGATCTCCAAGACGGCGAATGTTAAATTTCAGAAATTGGGTTCACTGCTTCATCAGCTCAGCCCCGCGTCGCGGGCTTTTCCAGCAATCCTACGAAATTTGCGCTCAAAAGAAGATGCCATCATGCCATTGCTTACTTTTGGGCTGAAGCCGCCGCAAAAGTCCCAAAACAACAAATTCCTTAGGACGCAATGTGTCTTGTTCAATGGTAAGACTTGGATCGACGACGACGTTGCAGCTCGGTGGCAACGCTTTCGTCGCCCTCGGTCAACCGGTCGGCTGTCTTGATACCGGCTGCCACCAGGCAGCGATGAATGCAACACTGTCTTTGACAAGAACGCCATCTCTATAGGGTCGTGGACGTTGAGGACCAAGCCCTCTCTATCCCGCAGACCGACACCCAAGACTCGTGGAAACTTCATCTCGAAGTATTGTATCTGCAACTTCGCACCTGGGCGGTCAGGCCATGAGAATCCCACCAGCCCTTTGGGCGTGAGTGGTTTAGCGAGCTCTCTCTGTTCTCAACCCCCCTTCTTCCCCTTCGGGGAGGGGTTTACCCCTCCCCCTACCCCCTCCCCCTGGGCCTGGAGAGGGCGCCCCGCGGGTGGTTGGAGGGGTCTTTTTCGACTCCTGGGAGGGCTAAAACTCGACACCCCTCACGAGGATTCTGGCCCCGACGGGGGGGGGGGGAGAAAAATGCTCGCCCCATCTGTGATCGATCGCCCGACAGATGACTCTAAGATTCCTCCCAGACCCCTCCCAAAGAGCCCCAAGAGGCCCCAAGAGGCCTCCAAGAGGCCCCCAATATGCCCCCAAGAGGCCCCAAGAGGCTCCCCCGAGGCACCCAAGACGCTCCTGGAAGCCCCTGGGGCCGCCAAGAGGCCCCCAAGACGCCCCAAACGGCCTCCAAGAGGCTCCCAAGAGGCCCGAAGAGGCTCCCCCAAGGCACCCAAGACGCTCCTAGAAGCCCCTGGGGCCGCCAAGAGGCCCCCAAGACGCCCCAAAAGGCCTCCAAGAGGCTCCCAAAAGACATCTACTACTACTACTACTACTACTACTACTACTACTACTACTACTACTACTACTACTACTACTACTACTACTACTACTACTACTACTACTACTACTACTACTACTACTACTACTACTACTACTACTACTACTACTACTACTACTACTACTACTACTACTACTACTACTACTACTACTACTACTACTACTACTACTACTACTATACTACTACTACTACTACTACTACTACTACTACTACTACTAC